AAAATGCTCTTTATCCGGCCCTGCCTGTATTTGGCTATTTGTGTTAACATGTGATTGTACTTAATAAAGTACAGCTGAAGGGGCTATGAACTGGAAAGTGAGCTTAATTGGAGAATTTTTCCAAATCAGCTGTGTTGTCTAAAGGTACCCATACACTGTACGATTATCGTACGAGAATCGCAGGAAATCCCGCGATCGTACGATAATCGAAAAGTGTATGGAAGGCGTGCGACCGTTTCTACTGTACAGTCGCACGTCTTCAGTCGAACAAGCAGGCTTAAAAAACCCGCCGAGAATCGTATGAATCGTATAAGACACCCCAGCCTAAAATGTAAAGGTGTGGCTCCTCTGAAATGCATACCAGACCATTGTCATACCTCTCCCAGTGTAAATGTTACTATACAGGAGATTACAGGATGCTGATATTAAGATCTGGGTACTAACTGTAATTGTTTTTTTTATATATATATATATTTAGGGGCTTATTTATAAAGCAGTAAATGTAACTTTCACCAAATATTTGCTGGTAGTATATCAAATGTGTCATTTTTATTAGTTCTGCTGTTTCAGTTACACTGCATATACTGTATATTTCATTGCATTTCATTGTGTTATGTTGTATTCCTAGCTACTAGTGGTAGATTAGTATTGTTACAGCCTAATCTGTACATACTTTGGCATCTTCCATTTACCCTGCTGTTTTCTGTACATACATTGGTACAGTCTTCTGCAACATCCTCCCAGCCTCTCTTCTATATTTCCTTTCTGCTTCATCCCTTACTGAGGTAAGAGGGTCTCAGTCTAACCTGTTATAAGCAAAGATGGGAATGTCTTTTTCACCTCTTATGACAAGAATCATAACCTCTGTATTGTGAAGGCGAATAAACTGCATTGGATTCTACTCCGAGCTTCTTAGCAAGTTGGACACTATCTGTGAATTATCACCAAGTCATTAGGTTGTTATACTATCCATACAGATGAGTCTCAGGAAGTGTGTCCAAATACATAAAGCAGTGGCTGTTCCAGAATATCAATCATTGTAATTTAAAACACATATACCAGGAAGATTTACCTACAGTGAATACATGATGAACATCAGGTTCACTGCTATATAAATATAACCCGTAATGTTCTTTTTCAATTAATACATAATACCATACATTGGTGTTTTATATCAGATGTATTTGTGAGCCTTGTATGTTATTTGTAAAGGTCAACAGAATGCGCCAATCAGAATTCTTAGCCAATCAGCTATTCTTAACCTCCTTGGCGGTATTCCCGAGTGTGGCTCGGGGTTAATTATCTGTACCATAAGCGGTAACACCGAGCCACACTCGGGAATACACAGAGCGTCTCTTACCTTGTCCCTCGAGCCGCGCTGTGTCCGATGCCGTCATCCGTCTTCCGGGTTCCGTCCCTTGTGAGGGTCCACGTCGCAGGGGGCGGAAACGGCGGGAGATTAAAAAATTAGAAAAAAAAAAGGAAGAAAAAAAAGAAAAAATCATACCGCCACGGAGGTTAATTCAGTCATGATAAGCATGTGTCTGGAACTGGTGCTAATAAGATATGAAAAACATGGTCCATGGAACTCTACATACTGATGCTTTTTATTATAGCAAGACAATTGACTAGATAATGTTTTTCTATTATTATACAGAAGTGTCACACCATATCTAGAGTCCTTACTGAGTGTTTTAGTTATGTTATTTTAATGAGCACTTTTATTTAGTGCTGCAACGAACTAATCGATTAATTGATAATAATCGATAATGAGAATAATTGTCAACTGTTCTCATTATCAATTAGTTGGTTGGATCCCCATAGCTCTCTCCTCTGGGAGGAGGACACAGCAAGCAGTGGATGTGCCCAATAGCCAGCCTGCTATTGGCTATTGCAATTTGAAATGGCCAATAGCCTGCTGGCTATTGCAACAGCCCACTCACTACCTGCTGTATTTACGTTCAGCTGGCATCTGCAGAATCTTGCCACTGGCAGCTGTCATTTCCTGGCTGAGCCATTTAAGCGCCATGTGCGCACAATACAATTATTTAAAAAAAAATATTATAAAAGGTGGGAAAAAATAATTTTCGGTTTCGACCTGACAAATTCTGCTGCGGGAGGTGCGTTGCAGTGCCATTCATTTCAATAGCACCCCAAACGTGCCTCCCACCCACAGTGCGATCGCCCGTACTGGAACGCATGGTACCGCAATGCGTTGCGTTCCAGTGCAGTGCGATTGCAAAAAATTGTGCAAGCAGTTTTATTCTGAAGTAAACTTTATGTTTGTAACACTGCATTTGTGTATTTCATTTTAAATTAAGGATAGTATTTTTCTTTTCTTTTTTTTTTATCCGTTCAATCGATTAATCAAAAAAATAATCGGCCAACGAATTGAATATGAAAATAATCATTAGTTGCAGCCCTACTTTATTCTCTGTACAATATACTGTATGACAAATCAAACTTCTTTTTTGCATGCATTAGTTGTGATTTTCTACTTTAACATACCAATGAACTCATGCTTCATACCCATACATGCATAGGCAGAAAGCCAAGGTTTCATTCATGAAGCAATGTTGTGAGCCCTATCTGATATTTAGGTGGCATCCTCGCTTTTCAGGGTCCAGTCAGTTTCCAGATTCTTTCATTTTTCTGTTGGGCATGGTGTATGCTTTCCACCTAACCCCCCCTTCAAAAAGTTAGTCTCTTTATGGGCCTCCTTGCTTTGAGCAATAACACAGGCTGTGCAAGCATGCGGTGTAAGCATTATTTACAAGCATGCCTTTGTGTAGAGGGGACCTCCTGACAGAATGACTTTTGTAAGAATCAGCGGGAAACCAGTCCTGCTGTTTTATGCATTGCCTCAGTGTCCATCCATTCAGATATCAAACTGATGATAGAACCTTAAAGCGGTAGTAAACTGCTGATGAGTGGGCTTTTGCCCTAATGTGCAAGTATGCATACCTTGCAAGTGTGCCCTTCTCCAGTGCTGTCGGATGTAGCTTTGGCCCCCTGCTCTGTCTCCTGCAGCTGCTATCTCCGCTGCCAACACTTCCAGGTTCCCAGAAGTCCTCTTCCAGCATTGAGTGATCACTGATTATATACAGTAACATCTGCACGTGCAAGCAGGAGTTATGTCTTCCACAGCACCTGGCCCATTCACGGCATCACAGAGATGCTATGAATAGGCTGAGTGTGTTCCCTGCATAGCACATGCGCCGTAAAGTGTACACAAACAATAAAAAAATCGCTTGGGGAGAGAGGAAAAATTGTTTTGGCAGAAGAGACTTTATATGTACAGTACATTCCAGTGATCTTTTTAATTTTTGTAGCTTCACTTCCATTTTAATGGGGAATCTGTAAAGTCCTGAAAAGTCCTAATCTGCATACTTGTTTTAGGTCAGAGATTAAAAATATTAAAGCAAGGTCAGAATGAAAATCAGGCAACTAGCACAAGGAGAGGTAAACAAAATGACAATTTTCCTTTAAAGTGATGTATTTTTTACCTTTTAGATAGAGTAGGGGAGTTCAATAAACCCAACAGGTTTATTTTTTGCTGTCTGTGTCCTGCTGGTGAGATTACCCATAACTTCCTGTAGAGGATTCCATGCAGATTAAACAGGAAGTAAAAGGAAATCTCCCCAAAGTAATTCCCCTGTCATCAAAACATTTGTACCAGAGACATCACTAGGGTTGATGTCACCCGGTGCGGTAACTCATGGTGTCACCCTGGGAAAAAAAAAAAAAAAAAAATCAGTAAGAAAACGATAGAATGTCTCTCCTGCCTTCCGATACAGGAGATCAAACACAGCAGCACAACTCCATGCAGTCAGGAAGCTGGCTCAGTATTGCATCGCCTGCACCTGACTGTAGGGAGGGCTTAAATACCCTCCCAGGAAGTACCAGGTGATGGGATGATCAGTCACAGCTGGGGCACACCCGCAGGTGAGTACCGGAGCTGCAGGTTCCTGACAGTTCCTGGCTGCTGGAGACACCTGCAGGCGAGCACAGGAACTGCAGGACCTGGCTCCAGCGCCACCTGGGGGTGCTCTGGATCCTGACACTGATCACACAGAGGAGATTGGAGAACGGACATTCTCCGGTCTGCTCCCCATTCTCCATCCTGAATTTATGTGTCGTGGTCCTGGGTCACCCAGAGGAGCGAGGGGGGTGGGGGGTGGAGCAGGCTGCTACAAGTGATCTGGGCAGCTATACAGCCTGTGAAGTCGGCTGGAGAAGGTGAGGATGCCCCCTTTTGGCTGACCAACACGGGAGCTGCTATTCAAGTCGCAGGGTTGGTGAGAGGCCTTTGGCCACCTGCATTTATTAAAGTTGATTGCATCTGTGACACAGTATGACCCCCAACGTTGGCTAGCCTAAACTAATACTACTGGCGAGTAGTGCAGGGAGCTGGGGGACATTTGGGACTGAGCCATTAGTAACCCAGTATCCAGAGTCAGAGGGAATCTATTCAAATAGCTCAGCACTGTAATTTGCATTATTTAATTGCATCATTTCGGCACAGGACCTTGCGGAACATGTGCGGCTCAGACACACAAGCACTGACAGACAGGAAGGCAGCATTTATGACAGTATAGATATACATAGTCTCTCCTGCCATAAAACCCTACCTGTCAGTGTGTTTTTATTTCTTTTTACTCGAATTCTGCACTTTAAATGCATGTTACTGCTGTGCATGTGGGTAAATGGGCATTCAATTACAAGATGGCAACTGTAGGAATTGTAAATCTTAAATTGAATTTTCGTATGCATATATTAATGTGGACCTTCATCACAACACTAAACAAATTACATCAATCTGTGATTTGCAGCAAACAAAAATGCCATGTTACTGTTGGATCCCCTAGCTCTCTCCTCTGGGAGAGCTAGGGGATCCAATTTTGACTAGGAGATGTAATTTTGACTATATATAGATATATTTCAGATAATATAGATTTATGGATTCTAAATAAAAGTATTCCCGTCTTCTGTCTTTACAGGTGCAACCGCTCTTGTTGGTGCAGGTTTAATAGCACAGCTGGTGAGCAAGTTGGAGTCAGAGCATGAAGAAATACAGGAGCTGATACTGGAGACATTGAATTCATGTCTCCAAGCAGATTCTGCCCAGGCTCTTAATGCAGGAGCTGTCCCCATTCTGAAAGCGAAGCTTAGTCATCCGTTAGTAGGCATTAGGAGGAAAGCAGCCTGTGCTCTCATGGAAATATGGTAAGGAAAAGACAGAGCCATGTCATTTTGTTTTACAGGCCCTAGGGGGCAGTAAGTCTACATAAATAATTATGCATTTTCCACAAACAAAACTGAAACAGAGTGGAATTTTTATCAAAACTGAAAAAGAAAAAATCTGGAGCAGCAGTGCATGGTAACCAATCAGCATCTCTCTTTCATTTGCAAATCTTAACTGAACAAACTGAAGAGAGAAGCTGATTGGTTGCCCTGGGGAACTGCTCTAAATTTTGCCTGTTCCCCCTACAGTATGTAACTAAAGTTCAATAACAATATATGATATACAGTTCAGATCCCAGTTTGCAGTAGCATACATTACTTTAAGTATGTCAAATGTAGACAGACAGTTAATAGATAAATATAGATCTTCCTACAAAAAAATACCAGCACTCAGTCCAGTCATTCAGCACAAAAGACCTGATTAATTATTTTAATATTTAGGTTAAAAACAGGGTTTTTTGATACGTACATGAGCAAGCACATGTAAAGCCACACTGCTGTGTCAAAGAAGATGGTGCCTACTTCCAGGAAAGCTTGCTCTCAATATATACTTATACACTGAGTGGCCAGTTTATTATGACCACCTGACATTTGTAGAAGTATGACTTTTTGCAAAAATTTTGCAAGAGTGGAAGGTGGCTGAAAAGGATATGTTTCTTAAAAGTGAACTTACTTTTTAATTATGACTGTCTTTATTATAATGACTTATATGAAGAGCAATCCACAATTCCGAAGACATTCATGCAAAAAAATCAAGCACTAGCTTAGGGTTCATTATCTTTTGCTTACAACATTATACAAGCCCTATCATTTAGTTATTGTTGTTAACAATAATGTCAGCTGAAGGCTTTCCTGAGGCTAGGTTCACACCTAGGAGATTTATCGCGTGAATTAAGTTGCACGAATTGCGCAAAACACAGATTCGCATTGAAGTCAATGGAGGCTGTTCACACCTTTGCGGTTTATCACACGGACGAAATCGTCTGCCGCAAAAAAAGGTGCAGGAGCTATTTTCAGCCGGTTGTTCCGTGGTTTGGGTCCCATAGACATGCACGCGGTTTTCAAAGCACAGTCGTGCAAATGAAAACGCGTGAAAACAGCTCACCAGCTCAATCGCCTAGGTGTAAACCACATTGGCCAAAGAAAAATTGAAATATAGCAACGAATTGTCAATTAAGGATATTAACTATAACTATTAGCCCTGTGGGTAATAGGAATGTAAATTTAGAGTCTCCGTTAGTTAATATTGTTGTGCATAGTCGCGAAATGGGGGAAAGTGAGTCTTATTAGTATTACGTTTTGGCAGGGTAACTAGGGTAAAAAGGTGTGAATGGTTTCCTACAAGCTGTCACAGTCATCCAGGGGCATAGCATGGAGGGGGCCAAGGGAGCGGTTGCCCCCAGGCACCAAATTTGTAGGGGTGCTGCTGGCAGGGCCGTTCAGTGCTGTGTGTCTGCCTGGACAGCCTTGGTCGACCCATACAATGGTGGACTGACAGAATGCCGCTGCGCAGAGTGACCACTGGGTGGTTCTGCTTGGCAGCAGGACGACCCATTCAACCATAAACAGAATGTGTGCACCCTGGAATGTCGATCGTGCCCAAATGTTATTGCCAGACGTAGCCCAAGTCTAATTTTAATTTTTTTTATAGCACAGTAAAAAGTGATGCTTTAGGATTGGCATATCTATTGTACTGCTTTTTTTAGAACCAGGGCAAGGCAAAATATTTATAAACAACTTGCTCAGTGCTTATGAAATGCAATGAAGAAAAACTGAAGGTCAATTGTCTTTAGAACCCCTTCTTTTTTTCCCTTACCAATCAATCTACATATCTCTCCCGAACCTACTGGGCACATTTGAAAATTATAGTATGCTCTCTAATCTCAAAATTAACTTCCAAAAATCGGTGGTGATGGATGTGGCCATGCCCCAGACCCAAGCGTCCCACTTACGTAATAACTTCCCATTTAAGTGGGGCCATAATGCCATCAAATACCTAGGCACTTTTATCCCCAGAGATCTGACCGATACCTATGCCCTACATTTTACCCTGTTAAACAAATTCAGGCCTTACTTCACACACGGAATGCCAGATCTTCTCCTGGTTTGGCCATTGTAATATCATCAAAATGTCGATCCTGCCCAAATTCATAAACCTCGTAAATACTTTGCTGATTACTATGCCTCCTACTTTTTTCTGACAAGCTTCTTCTCTCCATTAAATTAATTTGGGCCCACAAGCGCCCATGTATCCGGTTTCCACTTCTAGTCCAATCTAAATGCTCTGAAGGTTTAGCAGTACCGGACCTACGGAAATATTACTTTGCCTGTCACTTAGTGAGACTGGCTGATTGGTGTAGACATAGCGACGCTAAAGCTTGGGCACATTTGGAGCAATCTCAGTCAGCACTACCCTTGTCTGGCCTAGTGTTGAGCCCTCAATTTGTACCACTGCATCTGAAATTGGCTCCTCTCATGCATCACCACTGCTCCCGATCCTATTTTCTTGAAACTTCGTGCTGGGCGACTCACATTATTATGGACTCTTCCTGGCCAGCCTTAGTGTGCCTTATGTCCTCATCGAGCCCTTTCAGGCTACCTTTCTGGCAGGCTTTGCAGTTACGACACTTTGTTTCCAGGATTCACAGGACTTCAGATTTCCTAAGATCAATGACAATAAACGATGATATCCCCTGCACACCATACAGCAATAGAGACCAGAAGTAATGGTGGTGCTTGTAGTGATGTCCACGGATGTCACCGTGCGTAAATCAGATAAACAGCAAGGAAGATCACCAGCACTCATGGGATGCAATAAATCCAAATTTCTCTTTTTATTGGCATCACTATATCTGCCCTGAAGAAGGAACCCTGCAAGGTTCCGAAACGTTGGCTACTTGATACAAATGACATGTCTCTGCAATAAAAAGAGAAATTTGGATTTATTGCATCCCATGAGTGCTGGTAATCTTCATTGCTGTTTATCTAAGATGAATGACAGTCTTGGATTCTCTATGCTCCACAGAGGGCCATTTAAGAAATCCTCTGTCACTCTTTTATTCTATGTTAGTCTCTCCAGAAAAAACTTTTGTTCCCCCTTTTTTTTTTGAGTGGGAACGAGATCTTGATGTACGCTTTACACCCTTACAGAGGCAACAAATGCTTGCTTTTTCACTTAAGTCCTCCACATCCGCATAAATTATCACCGATGTCTCTGATAAGTGCTTGAGATGTGGAAATTAAAAAGTTATGCTATTGCACATTTTCTGGTCCTGTCCACCTTTTGGTCAACTATTAGGAATGTTGTTCAAAGTCTCACTGATCGCACCCATTCCTATTAATTTTGCATTATTTCTTCTACATGTTAATGATTTCCCTGTAAAGATATACAAAAAAATCAGGATTTTTCTTTAACCCCCTCCCGCCATTTTTTTCCTTCATCGAGTGTGCCAAGCCTAGTTGTTGAACATTGGCTGCCATCTGGATTTTCTTTTTGTTAGTATTACCAGTTGAGTTGTGCATGCCTGGCGTCCTAAAATTCACTACAGTATTTTCTTGCTGTTTGGTTGTGCTGTTTTATTATCTATGGAATGTCACATTTCTTTGTTAATGTTTTTGTATTCAATTTTACATTGAAAATAAAGAATTTGAAAAAAAAACAAAAAAAAAAACTGAAGGTCAGTTGGATTTTTGGTGAAACTTTTAAGAATCCGAATAAGCATTGGTTTTCTTTTTCTGTTCTTCCACTTAGAGGATACTCCTGCATTTCTATCACTTTTACCTCTTCTCTTGATCCTCAGATACAGTAGAGACATACAGTAATGCTTATGTGAAAGAGGTGACCCTAGTACAGTGCGTTGTACGGGTGACAAAGGTTGTATGCCTTAAATGGAAATCCAGTCCTATATCTGACCTTATATATTTTCTTCAGCCACTAATATACTGCTGCTTTCTGCTCCACTAAGTGACCAGGTACTCACTGCCAGTGTACCCATGGCTTGCTCATACTCTTGCCTCTTGTTCCTACATATTATTCCTTAAATTGTGTTCCTCTATTGACAGGGCTGTGACTTCTGTTGTTATCTTTTTGTTCTTGTCCATCGGATTGCCAGACAGAGAAGCGTGATTCGTCACTCCAGAGAACACGTCTCCACTTCCCTAGAGTCCAGTGGTGGCGTGCTTTACACCACTGCATCTGACGCTTTGCATTGCACTTGGTGATGTAAGGCTTGGATGCAGCTGCTCGGCCATGGAAACCCATTCCATGAAGCTCTCTACGCACTGTTGTTGTGCCAATATGACGGCCACACGAAGTTTGAAGGTCTATAACTAATGACTCTGAAGAGTTGGCGACTACTGGGCACTGTGTGCTTCAGCATGTGCTGACCCCGCTCTGTCATTTTACGTGGCCTACCACTTCGTGGCTGAGTTGCTGTTGTTCCCAGTTGCTTCCACTTTGTTATAATACCACTAACAGGTGACCGTGGAATATTTAGTAGCAAGGACATTTCACGGATGGACTTATTGCATAGGTGGCAACCTATCACGGTACCACGCTTAAATTCACTGAGCTCCTGAGAGCGACCCATTCTTTCACAAATGTTTGTAGAAGCGTCTGCATGCCTAGGTGCGTGATTTTATACACCTGTGGCCATGGATGTGATTGGAATACCTGAATCCAATGATTTGGAGGCGTCCCAATACTTTTGGCAATATAGTGTATTTACTTGTACAAGTGTTTTTTAAGCACTAATTTTAGTTATCCCTATTTATAACAATAGAGCCATGGGAGTTATTATTTAGTTCCACAGATTTTTTTAATTTGTCCACTAGGTGGTGCAGCTGAGATAAAACCTCAAACATCAAAATACTTTAGTTCTGCTGCTCAGGTTGTGCCCCTGTCATTGTTGGGGATATAAATGATTGCAGAAATGATTGCACCTGAGAATAAACAAAAAAGGAAAAAAAATGTAATAGCTTAGGGTAGCTATCGTTAAACCTGTACTGATGTGCTATTATAAGCAGGAACCTAATGGTGCCTGAATGTACCATTAGTAATCCTGCGAAGCACCTCCGGTAAATGTGTTTTGTGTGGATGTGGTACCCTCAGTGATAGAATAGTTGTGACACAGTGACAAGAAGGGTCCTCCTCCATTTCCTCTAGTCTAGAAGTGGTGGCCAGTACAGAATTCTGCACGGCCAGTCTCTGTAGCATTCTCCTGTGAGTTCAGGCCGAGATGATTTAGCACACCATTCTGCTCCAGAATATAATTTTTTTTGGTATTCCTTTAGCATAACATATAAGTGCAGTCCAGTATGATGACACCCCTCAGATAACGTGTCCAGAATAAAGAATGTTGTATTAGAGCTGTAGAATAATAGTGTGCTGCAGCATTACAATTATGTCAAGAAATTTAAAGTTATTATTATTGTTGCTGCTACTGCTAAATTTTTTGATTACTGACTACTAAACCAAGATTTTCAGTACTTGTACCTAAAAAGATAAGTTGATATTAAAAACAAAAAATGGTGAGCTACTGAGAACTGAGTAGATTGCTGGAAATGTAAGGCTAAAAGTTACTTTCACGCACTGTTGTCTCCCCTCTTCTCTGGCAACTAATAGCCACAGCACTGCTCCCTAGTAGTATACTGACTATGTTGTCAGCTCTCTACCTGCAGAGGTGTCCCGCACACGCTTAATGTCATCACACGCACTTAACTGCTGGACGCCATCTCGGTGATGAACTCCGGCAGAGAGAGGAGGGGACATTCATCTGGAGGGATAAGGTATGCCACCGGGTCCCCTCCTCTCTCGTACAGCTGGACCGACTTTTTAGAGGGGGTGACACCCCCTGTGAGTCACTTTGGATTTTGGTGTCACCCCCTCTGATGGTGTCAACCAGCCGCACCCCCTCCCCTTACTAGCTACCTGTCCTTGATTTAGGCATACCTTATGTTGAGATTAGTGACACATATTGCCACAGTTGACACTGACAAGTTGCCATAGAGAGAGGTAACAGGGTGGGAAGGGGTAACCCAATAAGATTTTGCTACGTGGCCTCGTGTCTGTAGTGACGCGGATGATTAACAGTAACACCATATTATATTTTACTGTAGCATGGTTTCATTTTCTGGTATTGTTTCATAGCAGCCATATGGTCTGTAAAATCAAATAGATGCAATTGAGAGTGGAAACTAAGCAGCCAATGTGCATTTATATAGTATTACAGTAGGTGCAGATTTTTAATAAAGCATGTCTGAAGCAAAATATTAGAACTGCCATTTATTGACCTCCTTCTGAAAATGTTAGGTACTTGACTTTCTATGTCACTGATCCAGAACAAGTAAGCTCTAATATTACTTTTATATACAGTATATACTATTAATTATCTTGCAGCATGTTGTTTTTTTTTTATTATTTGGAAAAGAATATCCATGTAGATGTAACAATTAGGACTGCTCTGTACTGGGACCATCTGTTGCTGTAGTCCGAACATAACAGTGTAATCCATTTTTGTATGTGCTGTGATGTTTGTATATTAATACAGCATTTACACAAGGTAATCAGTGAGAGCTACTTAGGTTAGGTTTGTGCTCCATTTGCTAGACATAGAAGACGTGAGATGTGGGCATTATCACCCTTGTGCATTAGTCCAGAGAGACCTGCCATAAAAGTTACATTGTAACTAATTAGTTCCTTCTGCTTATCAAATAATCACTAAATAATTACTTTTCCAACAGGAAGTAGAAGCTTTGACAATTGACCTTTTTGTCACTCTTGCATTCATAATATAAATATTGTTTTATAGAAGCCCTTTTCCGGCTTCCTGATTGGCCGGAAAGCCAGCTCCTTGTTCCCTGGTCTCCCCGGCCAATCAGGAAGCTGGGCCGCATGTAATGACTCTCTGCCCGGCTTCCTGATGCCGGAAAGTTCCGGTATCGGAATAGGTATCGGGAGCATATGAGCATCGGTGCATCCCTATTTGTAAGATAAACAAATTATGCTGTTTTACATTTACATACACTGGACAAATGCCTCCATTGAAACACCTTGAAATGCCCCTTAAATGCTTGGCCAATGCTCATATAGCTTTTTTTGGGCATTTAAGAAGCGTTGCAAAGTGTTTATCATAGAATCCTAGAAACCACTTGGAAATCAGTGAGTGAGTAGACAAAGCAGCTGCAGATGCCACTTCCTGTCTGTACACATCCAGCGTTTTGTGAATGTGAATGTCACAGCTAGTGTTTTCCCAACAAAATAGGACAGTTACTAGCCTGAAAAAATGTCTGAAATAAATGTTGCCATTTTTGATGCCTCCCTAGTGCCTTGAAAATGTCTGCCAAATGTCTTGTTAACACTATAGGCCTATAACACTATGCCTGATAGTATCATTCTAAAGGGAGGATCAAACACTGATGAAAAGGAGGGTGAAAAAATGCAGTAGAATAACCTATCTTTCCTTGTTTCTTAATATTACCTTTTATGACTGAATGAAAATGTTTGCGTTCCAATACACCAGTCCTTCTTTTGTGTCCCATTTTGCGTCCCATTTTGCTAGAATTATCTATTTATGACAAAATTCATGGCATCAGTTAACTGTCAGTCTGTCTTCTTCATTCTCAGTGTTCCCTTGGAAGGAAAGGAAAGTGTGTGCAAAGCAGAGGTAGTTCCCATATTTGTACAGCTACTGGAGGATGGGGATGCTGAGGTCAGAGCCAATGCAGCTGGGGCTTTGATGTTCACTACCATTACTACTCAAGGTAAGGCATCTGTCCTCTGGCGGCATGATAATTCTCCAAATGTTCCCACTGTACTCTGATTGGCCCTTTTTCTGCAGGAAAATATGCTGCTTTTCATTCTGGTGCCATTCCAAAATTGCTAGCTCTTGTGAAAGATAGCCACAGTAAAGTGCGACTGAATTGCATCAAGACATTAACCACCTTGTCTGAAACTCCTGAAGGTCGCAAAGTTCTCTTGCCAGATGTCAATCTAATCCAGGAATGTCTGTTGGACTCCAGTGAAGCAGTGAGGAGAGCAGCTGCTATAGCAGTGCAAGTCATACAGTGGAGACCCTGAGCCAGGCGCTATAATGGTGCACAGGATTATTACAGTGTCCAATTTGCTGACCTTCATCGTGATGTCCATAAGAAACACCAAATCTAAAATGTAAATTTAAAAAACTGTCACATTTTTACCTACTCTATTCAAAAGCTTTTGTTAAAAAGGTTTTGATTGGAGTTCTACTTTATCTCACTCTTAGGCAACATGCAGCCTTCTCTTGCTGAGGAACCGTAAGCCTTATCACACACCCTTCACTAGCTGTGCATGTGCACCTGTATTTGTTTGCAAACTGAAGGGCAGCTGTTTGCCCAAAATGGATTAAAATGATTTCAAATAAACCTGAAAAACTATAAAACTATTCAGACTTCGTTTTTTGTAGTATGAAGAGATCCTGATTGGTTTCTTAAGCATTAACCTAGAGTGCCAGTAGTTGGTGAATCTGAGATTGCATTGTACACATGTAGATATAATAGAGTTGTGTGGTGGTACTGCTGAAATTCTCTAAAGTTGTAAGGCCAATATATCAAGACTTGATATCCAATACAATATAAAACAATCTGGAGATAACCAAGGTCATATTCTAAGAATCCACTTGGGTTCTTGATCTGCAGGCTGAGCACCTCTGCTCTAGGAGCATTGAACTCAATTACAGATACTCCTTACTTAACGAACTACCTGTTTAGCGATCGCTTGTATTTACGACAGTATGTGCGGGAATGTGGCAGCGGCAGTGTGGCATCTCACCATCATGCATATTCCGTTCTCTGCTCTGCTACTATTCTCGATCAGTATTTACAATACTGTATTTACAGATTTATGGCACAGTACTGTACATCTCAAACAGTATAGTACTGTATAGTACAGTATGTGCATGGCTGTGTGCCGTCCACACATTCCAGCTGCCCTAGGCCTTGTTGGCTATCCTGATACAGTATCCATATGTGCCCAGGATCTCTCTCAGGCCCAGGCAGTAGTGTGACAATGAACAGTACAATATACAGTTCCTTGCTTAACAACCAATTTGCTTAACAACCTAGTCGTAGGAACAGAACTCATTTGTTAAATGGGGAGTATCTATATATGCATATAGACTGACCTCCTTATATCATGAGAGAACAAAAGGTCCTAGGGCAGCTTACAAGGTCGTTGAAGGATTCACAGACCCCTCCCTATAGAAAGGTCGGTACAGTTTTATCTGTTTTTTTTTTGTTTCAGTTTTTTCCAGTAAGCCCTATGACTGCATATGAAACGGGCATTGAGTTAAAGAAATGTGAAGTAATCAATGATCTTTCATGGGGACATAGGTATAAACAAATACAAGTGACATGTTTTATTCTTGTCATTAAAGTTGATGTTTGAAGTTTATAGCATCCGTAGTTATGCAACAAACTATAAAGTAGTAGATATCATCATAACATTATGTGGAGTATGTCATGTACACTAGACCTATACACAGAACAGTTTATCATTTCTCACAGTTTTATACTGTCAGCCTGTTTAAAACAGAAAAAAACACTACTCCAAAGGCAAACCTCACCAGAAAAATAATAGAATAAAATCACTACATCGAAATGGTGAGTTAACAAACCCTTTAACATATACTGTATAGTGCTCAGCTGTAACAATTCCAGTTATTGTAGTTATTTATATAGCAACCATAAACATATTCACTCCATACTAACCATGCATGGTTAAAGCTGAACTTCAGGTAGATATAAAAGACAAATGAATGCAACTCTGCATTAATATTACTTCATTAAATGTAATTTTATTTCATTGCAAGCAGTTTAGGTACCCGAATCTGACCAGGTATCAGCCTCTTGCAGTCCGTGTAAAGCAGATCGCAGACTGGGAGAGGGAGAAGAAGCACAAGGAGCCAGTCATTTGTGCCCCAGTGCAAGGAACATGCTAATAGGAAGAGAGAGCAGAGTGACTTATCAGTATGCTGCTTCTTCTTTCACTGCCCAGTCACAGTCTAGGGAAGGTATAAGACCTGTAAGTGTTACTGAAGCACAGCAGAGAAAAACCAGGTCTCCTCCCTTGCCAGACAGGGCTGTGCTGTGTGTTAGAGCTGTGTAAATTTCAAAACTGGGTGGATAGGAGTACAAACCCTTTGGCAGGTAAAACAGCTATCTTATATGTATTTCATCTGTGTATTTAGTGGACTGCAAGTGTAAACTGCTCATTTGTGTGTAGGTGCTAAAATAACAAAGATATACTCACCCGAAAATCCGAGCCAGCTAGCTGTCACAGCTCTCCCTCCAGCCTGTCTCCCCCTCCCTGCAGCATTATAATCTCCCTCAGTGTCCTCACATCTATACACTGTGTATAGACCAGGGGCGGACCTAGTGCGGCTGCACCAGGGCCCGATGTTGGGGGGGCACAGGGAGATCTAGTCCCGGGCACCCCCTGTTGGTCCAGGCCATGTCCCTAGAAACAGGCAGCGAGAGAGGGGAGCTGGCACACAGTCGCCTGTAGAACCGGAGGACAGCAGGTGAGAGATGATCAGGCTGTCAGTGGAGAGCTCCCCCAGTGATCACTGGCAGGCTGCAGGCTCTGAGTGATGATTCGTGCTGTCAGTGGAGAGAAAGCTGAAGCGATCACTGCAGATCTCTACTGCCAGTTCATTTGATGCTAGTAATGATGCCGACACTGCTGGAGGAGCTCGGGCAGCCAAGCACTTTTCTTCGGGGACTTTGTGTAAGTAACCTGCATGGCACTCATATTGAATCTAAGTTCTGCATAAAAGAAATGTGTTTCCTTAATATGTAGCAAAGTCATGAATAAAGTCAATGTGTCTCTTTAAATGTTAAGGCCTGCACCTGTCCCTGTATAATTCCCTTCTGTCTGCCTGAGTAATCCCATGCCTTCTAATTGCTGTGTGTGCACAGGATGGATACTGGTTTATATACCTTTACTACAAATGTGTTATGTCTATATCAAGCATACAGTATGTCCTGCTGTAAAAGCCAAAGTGCCCCCAAGAATCAGCGGTTACAAGCATTACAAAGCCTTAAATAACTCATCACGTACAGTGTACTTGGCCAGTCATATAGGCACTTCGTGGCGGGACTTACAGTGTACGTCTCCCGTCACGAAGGGGTTAATAGACTCCAGGAAAGAAGAGTTGTATTTTCAGGCAAAAAGCTTAACTGTCGCTTCTTGAAGTGGTCACGGGGACTTCTTAAGTTGTGATTGTTTTGTTAGGTGATGCTCCAGTTTCAGACAGCCCAGAACAAGTGCAGATGAAAACAAGTGCAAAACAGGTGCAAAAAACATGCAATTGAAAAAGTAGTGCAAGCTCTGGTCAAAACAGGTGCAAATAACACGTGCAGTTGGAAAAGTAGTGTAAGCTCTGGTGAATACAGGGGCACATGTTGAAAGACAGATTTGCACATAAAAAAAATGATGAAGAGGCTAAAACTGTCGTAATTGCTTTGATAAATTCCCCCCATTGTGACTCTGTGTGTGGTTTCTCCTCACATTTGGCATCAACTGTATTTGCAATATTCAGTTTTTGGATTATTTGTTGTTCCATATACTACTTGTAATTATTAAATCATTTTATATGGATTTTCATTTGGATTTTTTGTTTTAGAGTTTACATTTTTTTATTCAAAGCCCAACTCCAGAGAGATTGAAAGTTTGGGGGTAGCCCCACTGTCAGGGTAAACTGCTCGTTTATGCCTAGTGGACAGGAAAAAGTACTTTTCCTGTCCCCTAGGAATAAACCAGCGACTAACCCTTGCAGTGCGGGGACAGTCCCATTGAAGAGAAAACTTTTTTTTCAGCGCAACGTAACGGAATAAAACAGATGCAATGACATTGAAACCAAAGTAAATATCCCCCTGGATTTGGTTGTATTATTTGCTGTTTGCATCATTTTTAGCTGTTTATGTTAAATGCAATGTACCATTTTTGGCTTGTGTTCCCTTTCAGCCCATGATAAGCTCATGCTTAGCTAAACTGCTAAGTTGTGCCTTACTTTTTACAGCAGTTTTCCCTAGTAATCTGGGCAGGTGGTTATAAAGGGAATAAAGTGCGTCAAATGCATTCTTATCACATAATTAATGCTTGTATCAGGGGTTTTTTCTATGATAAGCACAAGGAAATCAATGTAATTATCGTAATTTGTTTCTGAATATCTTGAGTAGCAAGTCCAGCAAAACACTCATTTAGTATGAACCTCTTCCAGTGCAGTGCTGGGGCAATTGACAGGGTTGTTTATGCGTGTGTATATATGTGGGTGTGGGCGATATAGTCTAAGTGGATATTTCTCTAGGAAGTTTTTAAAAAACGGTGGCTTTGTGGCATTGCTGGATGTAAATCTGATTAGATTTGCCAACTAATGAACAAACAATAAAGAGCTCAGATCTTAAAATACTGGTACAAGGTTTATCCAAATCTTGACTTTCGACAAGAGGCCTGGACTGCTTGTTCCACAACTTTCTGTTGATCCCTAACCAGTTGTGGTGTGCTACACATTCCCAGAAAAAAACGTCATTGAAGTAAAGAGGGCATGTTTAGCATATCCTGTCATTTCCCCTGCTGTTGTTCTCATCCCGCCTGCATTTGCCATGAGTTCCGGCTTTCAAAATGACTGCTGGGAGTTGCTGTGTAAATACAGCAGCTATTACAGCCACTGTCAAAAAACAGACCTTCTGACACAGGGGAAACTTATCAAGCAAGTCAGGCTGCCTGTCACTTAGCAGGGTCTATGCAACAGATTGTATGTGTATCTGCCACAGATTGTGTGTGTGTGTGTGTGTGTGTGTGTGTATTTGCAGTTCTGCATCTGTAATCTTGGGCAGCAGAGTGTGACAGATTTGTATAGGTATGTAAAAAGATTTACTGTATCACAGTGTTACTTAAGAGCAGCTGATGGACGAATTTATGAAGGATGCTGCCTAATTATCATAAATATATATTTTTTTTTTTTACATATAATTTTTATTAAATTATAAACATACAAGGGAATGTTGTACATCTTGGAGCTCTTCACATGGTGTCAGTACA